CTGTTGCTTTTTGACCTGCTTATAGGTTTATCAAGAGACAAATAAGACAAATACTGTTGGAGTCTAGCTTGTAGGATTTTAAGCATAACTTTACTAGCATGTGAAATGAGTGCAATGGTGCGATAGTTTGAACATTCTTTGGCATTGCCTTTCTTTGGAATTGGAATGTAAACTGACCTTTTCCAATCCTGTGGCCACTGTTGAATTTTCCAAATTTGCTGGCAGATTGAGTGTAGCACATTTACTGCATTGTCACCTCCATTAGCTTTGTTGTTGCTCAGATTTCCTAAGGCCCATTTCACTTCACATTCTAGGATGTCTGGCTTGAGGTCAGTGACCACTCCATCGTGGTTATCTGGGACATTAAGCTTGTTCTTGTATAGTTCTTCTGTGTAGGTTTGCTACCTCTTTTTAATCTCTTCTGCCTCTGTTAGGTCCCTGCCATTTTGGTCCTTTATCATGCCCATGTTTTCTTGAAGAGATCTCTGGTTCTCCCTATTCTATTGTTCTCCAGCACAGGAGATGGAGAATCCACCAATGGGTTTGCTCCGTCTTCCTGCTTTTGAGACCAAGTCAGCCAAACCTGCCACGTCGTCTGTTGCTAGGAGAACCCTTGACTTGGTCTCCAGCTCCAGGAGGCGTGACAGGTTTGGCTCTCGAAAATCTAGCAGGTAGAGAGTTTCTCCCATTAGTGGATTTCTTCCTATCTCACCTCCACAGCTATCTCAGCAGCGCTGGGACCAGCGCTGCTTCAGATCGTCTGTCAGAGGTCGGGGGGAGGTTGTCTTTTTTCCCCCTCTCCTTTCCCCAGGGCTCTGGGGATTATTGCTGAGGCTTAGCCTTCTCTCTGTTTCACCCTTTTCCTTCGTTGCTTCAGCGCTGAGCTCAGCGCTGCGCATCGGATCTTCCCTCAGCCAGAGAAGTTAGGCCTCCCGTTGCACATGAGGCTCCTTGGCCTCCGAGACGTTCCTTCTCACATCGGTTCATTGCGGCCGCCATTTTGGTTGCCGCGGACAAGCCACAGTGACTGTTCGGGCCTCCGGAGGGAGGGGAGACTCCTCGCAGGGCGTTTTTTTCCTTTGCACTGCCCTCAGCTGCTTCCGTGCGAGGAATAGGCTTGCGCAGCACGCGACCAACCTTTTCTGCTAATAGCTAAGGATCAACGATCTGATCGGGGCGGCCGCCATCTTAGCTGCGCCTTGCTCTTCTTGCCTGAGGGGTACGTTGTGCGCTTTGGCTTCCCGTGACATCATAGGACCACCCCTCAGGTGCGGTCAGAATTTCACCGCTAATAGCCTGGCCTGGTTGGCCTTTTCTTCCCCGACCGTTTCGCGCATGGGATTCCAATAGGCCTCATTAGCCTTGCACGGCGGCCATTTTAGCTGCTGCCTACCAGGCCCGACTTGTTCACCACACGATCTCCCTCTGTGGTCGCCATCTTGGACACGTGGTGGGCCGCTTGTGCATGTGCCCTAGGCCGTATTAACTCTCAGATACCAGGCCCGGCAGCGAGGCCACTCTACACTCAACAACTTGGGCCATTCTGGTGCGGAATTTCTTGACCTGGCCACCAAAAGATTTCAGAAGGCTGCGCACCAGTTGGCTGTCAGGCCTCTGCCGCAGATTGACTGCCCGGCGAGCGTGCCGACCTCTCCCTTGTCGCCTCCAAGATATCAAGGGGGCACTGAGTTACCGGTCAGGTGGCCAGGGGAGCAGCGCACGTTTCCCTACTCCAGCTGCTTTAGCCAACCCGCCAATTGATCCCCTGCCAGAGCTCCCTCTCAGTACTTCCTGAGATAGCTCCCTTCAGGATGGCCCTTTTGTTGCCGCTGCTGCACAAGGCCAGCACGACGGCCAACATAGGTCCCCCTCAACTGGACTCACACAACCTTGTGAACCTCTCCCGCTCTCCCCCATGGAAAATCCCACCGGATTGTGTGTCTCTCCACCAGGGGGTTCTACGACACCCGGAACCCCAGTGGCTACAGTTAGCCGCCTGGCACTTGAACGCCGAATCATGAACCAGAAGTCGTTCTCGACAAGAGCGATTTCCATGATCCAGGCCTCTCGAAGGTCGGTGACCAATCGCATCTATGACTCCACATGGAGGAATTTTTGCCATTGGTGCGGAAGGCAGCAACTGGATCTCTCGGACTTGACGATTCCACAGATTTTAGAATACTTGCTTGAGGGTTTTGATAGGGGCTTGGCGCCTAATACAATCCGTAGGCAGGTTGCGGCACTATCAACCTTACTTACCTGTGCCAACTTGGTCCCTTTGGCCCAGCATCCCAGGATATGCGCCTTTCTCAAGGGCGTCACCAACACAAAACCACCCGTGGTACATAGGTATCCCTCTTGGGAATTACCCCGGGTCCTACGGGCACTCACCAAACCGCTGTTTGAGCCTCTCACAACTTGTACACTACGGTCCTTGTCCTACAAGGTCGCCTTCCTGATCGCCTTCCTGATCGCTATCACGTCAGCCAGGCGCATTTCTGAGCTTGCGGCACTGTCAGTCAGGGACGACCTCTGTATCTTCCACCGGGACTGGGTGGTCCTTCGCTTGGACCCCACATTCGTGCCCAAGGTCAACTCCCTTTTTCATAGGGCCCAGGAGATTGTTTTGCCGGATTTTTGTCCTAATCCTTCCCATGACTTGGAGCGGCAGTGGCACACACTGGACGTCCATAGGGCAGTACGCCGATACATCAAGCGAATGGCGTCCTTTCGCAAGTCCGAGGCCCTCTTTGTTTTCTTCCACCCTACCTCTCTGGGACAGAAGGTGTCTGCCTCCACTATAGGCAGGTGGATCAGGGCTTGCATTGCAGAGGCGTAACAGTCTTTTTCCCTGCCAGCTCCAAGTCGTATCACGGCTCATTCCACTCGCAGCGCTGCGATCTCTGCGGTGTGGGCCACTCAGGCATCCATCAAGGAGACTTGCAAGGCCGCGACATGGTCTTCGCCCTCCCCGTTTGTTCGTCATTACAAAATTGACCGCTTCGCTTCCACGGACGCCTCCTTTGGTCAGAGGGTCCTTCAGCAGGTGGTGTTGGGAATGCGGATCAGGCCTTATCTGTTTCCCTCCCATTGGGACAGTGAGGCTTTGGTATGTCCCATTGGTGGATTCTCCATCTCCTGTGCTGGAGAAGGGGCGTTGTCTTACTGAACGCCTTTTCTCAGCACGGAGATGGAGAATCCACTCCCACCCTTAGGGTCAGTTAGGCCAGGGTTGGGGGTCTGAGAGCCAACACCTCGGACTGTCGTCAGCTGCTTTCGCCCTTGCCAAGACTGGGTTCTCCTAGCAACAGGGGGTGTGGCAAGTTTGGCTAACTTGGTTTCAAGAGCAGGAAGACAGAGCAAACCCATTGGTGGATTCTCCATCTCCGTGCTGAGAAAAGGTGTTCAGGTAAGACAACGCCCCTTTTCTTCTATTTCTTTGCACTGTTCATTTAAGAGGGCATTCTTATCTCTTTTAGCTATTCTCTGGAATTCTGCATTTAATTGGGTGTATCTTTCTCTTTTCCCCTTGTCTTTCGCTTCCCTTCTTTCCTCAGCTATTTGCAAAGCTTTCTCAGACAGCCATTTTGCTTTCTTGCATTTCTTTTTCTTTAGAATGATTTCAGTTACTACCTCTTGTACAATGTTGCGAACCTCTGTCCATAGTTCTTCAGGCACTGTCTATCAGATCTAATTCCTTAAATCTATTTGTCACCTCTACTGTATATTCATCAGGGATATGATTTAGTTCATACCTGAATGGCCTAGTGTTTTTCCCTATTTCTTCAATTTAAGCCTAAATTTTGCAACGAGAAGCTCATGATCTGAGCCACAGTCAGCTCCTGGTCTTGTTTTTACTGACTGTATAGAGCTTCTCCATCTTTGGCTGCAGAGCACATGGTCAATCTGATTTCTGTGTTGACCGTCTGGTGATGTCCATGTATAGAACCATCTCTTGGATTGTTGGAAAAGAGTGTTTGCTATGACCATCGTGTTCTCTTGACAAAGTTCTATCAGCCTGTGCCTTGCTTCATTTTGTACTCCAAGGGCAAACTTGCCTGTTATTCCAGTTATCTTTTTGCTTCCTACTTTAGCATTCCAATCCCCCATGATGATAAAGACATCATTTTTTGGTGTTGATTCTATAAGGTGCTGTAGGGCTTCATAGAACCGGTTAATTTCATCCTCTTCAGCACCAGTGGTTGGGGCATAGACTTGGACTAGTGTGATATTGAATGGTTTGCCTTGGATTCGAACTGAGATCATTCTGTCATTTTGGGGATTGTATCCCAGTATTGCTTTTCCTACTCTTTTATTGAGTATGAAGGCTACTCCATTTCTTCTGAGGGATTCTTGCCCACAGTAGTATACCTGATGGTCCTCTGAATTAAATTCACCCATTCCTATCCATTTTAATTTGCTGATTCCTAAGATGTGTTGTCATCTCTTGTTTGACCATGTCCAGTTTGCCTTGATTCGTGGATCTTACATTCCAGGTTCCTATGGAGAAAAGATCTTTATAGCATCGGACTTTCCTTTCACCACCAGATGCATCCACAGCTGAGCGTCCTTTCGGCTTTGGCCCAGTCGCTTCACTCTTTCTGGTGCTACTATACTAGCCTTCTGTTCTTCCTCATTAGCATATTGGACACCTTCCGACCTGAGGGGCTCATCTTCCAGCGTCATATCTTTTTGCCTTTTGGTACTGTCCATGGGGTTTTCATGGCAAAGATACTGGAGTGGGTTGCCATTTCCTTCTCCAGTGGATCACATTTTGTCAGAACTCTCTGCTATGACCTGTCCATCTTGGGTGGCTCATAGCTCATAGCTTCATTGAGTTACACAAGCCCCTTTGCCACGACAAGGCAGTAATCCATGAAGGAGATTGTATATTTAGCTATTTTAAAATGTACTTTTTATTTGGATAACTTATGTGCAACAGTATGGATGCTATAAGTATTATAGAGCATATGTAATACTTAATCTGTGTTTCCTTTCAGAACTACCACAGTTGGATTATCCATACATCATTTCTCTAGGATACAAAATAAAGCCAAAATCCTTTCCAGTCAATTAAGAAAAATGCTTAACTTTGAAGAAGATAAAAGCAAAAGAGGAAACCTGAAGAATTTCTTAATGTCACTTTAAAAACTTAAAATAAGTAAGAACCTATAATTACAATTGTACTACATAAAACTATATTATACTATGGGAAATACAGCATGAACAAATATGTATACATTGCCCTGGAGATCAAAAATGTTTTGGGTGATAAGATAAATTAGGTACCCACACCACCATAAAGAACGAAAATGGGAAAAAAATATTTTAATACTGCTTCTGACAAATTATGAAAGAGAACAATGAAATTACTCACTTTTAAGTAAGTCTGGGCTGATGCTGTTTTCCCACTTGAATTATTTCTAACATTTGAATAGTTTGCTATTACCACTTACTGTATAGTCTTCAAAATATATCCTCAAAATAAAATTGGTCTGAACTTAAAACTCATAATATGTTGTGATGGAAAAATAATAGCAATAGCACTTAGACCTATGTACTGCTTTACAGTGCTTTACAGCCCTCTCTAAGTGGTTTACAGAGTCAGCATATTGCTCACAACAATCTGGGTCTTCATTTTATAAAATAAACCTGCAAATTCTTCTCCAAACTCCCCATTCACATTTTTCTTTGCCTCTCACCCCCACTCCCACTTCCTATTACAAGATCCATCCTCATAACAATGGAATTATTAGCAGCTTTATCTCACACAAAATATAATTTCCTTTATTTAGACAACTATCTCACTTGCTCAAAAAGTGTCCACAAATTAGCTTTTATTTAACTGAAGATAATACATACCTCCTATTGAGCTTGTCTCAGGTGAGGAATTATTTAAATTCTTCAATCATAATCTGACTAGAAGACACTTCAGATTTTTTGCTGAGCTACACATGTTACAAATCAAGACCTGAACATGACATAAAAGAATGAGATTTTGAACAGAACATTATGATTGCAGGAGTATCACTGGAGGAAAGTGTTCTTTGTGTGTGTATCCTGGTGCCTTAACTACTAGACCAAACTGGCTCTATTTATATGGCTACCCAGCTAATATAGGTGACCCAGGACAGCTTATAACATTAAAAATCTACAGCATAAAAACTAATAAAAATAGTACCTCATCAACATGTGCTATTAATAGAGGAAAGTCATATATTCAGTCAACAATATACAATAAAACGTGTATACAGATTTGGTTTTGCTGCTCCTACCTCTCTGTGAAAAACAGAATTGATCCTTGGCTTGAAATGGGCCAGTTCTGAGAATCCCTTACCATTGTGAGTACATAACTTACCCTGGTTCCTCACCTGTCCTGACTGAGGTCCCTGTTACAAAAAGCCTTTATAATGGCCTCAAAGAGAGTAGCAGTTAAAACTTTCCAAGTCAAATTCCATAATTCCAATTTTCAGCTTCACTATTTTAATGATAACTTTTTCTTAACCTTTTGCTAAATATTTTGGGGAGGATGGCAATCTAGGAAGAGTCTAGGAAGTAGCCAGCATTGTTCTCCAGCAGTATAAAGGAAATTGTATAAAAAGCTTCCTTCAGAGAATGGAAAATCTGTGCTAATGAGCAGAATGAAACGGGACTAGGCAGGAAAGCAAAACATCTGGGAGCACAGATGGTGTTTTCATCAATTCTTCCAAAGAAAGATTAACATCTAATAAGAGAACAGAGAATTCTCCAGCACTGGAGATGGAGGATCCACAGAATGGGTTGAGACTGTATTCCTGCCCAATCAGATCAAGTCAGCCAAAGTTGTCACGCCCCGTCCTGGGCTCTAGATCCCAGTCTTGACTTGATCTTGCCCATGGACAGGACGTACAACTCTGGCTCTTAGGCAGGTATAGTCTAGACTATTTGTGAATCCTCCACCTTTTGTGTCTATTTAACTGATTTAAGTCCCATAATTTGGCCTTTTTCCAATTTGACCAAATATCTTGGCTGTAGGGAAACTTATTTCTTCCAGCCCTCAATTGGGGGGATAAAATAATTTGAGGATAGAAGGGGATCCTTCTATCTTTATTCCCCTTCCAACAGCACTTGTTCCTGCTGCTGGTTCTGTCTGTCACAGAAACTTCCAGCCCTCAGTTGGCAGGGGAGAAAAACATCTATAAGGCAGAAGGGGATCCTTCTCCCTTTTCCCCCCCTTCAAGTAACATCTGAAGCAACTGTTGGTTCCGTTCTTACCGGAGCTCGCGGCTGCGGCCCGGTGAGGAACGGAGTAAAAAGGACTTGCCTGGAAGCGAGCGAGCCTCGTTGCAGGCCGTTTAGGAGCAATTGGAGCCTAAATTAAATCTGACAATTTTCGGGCTCGATCTTTGAGCCTCGGCCGGGGAGGCGCGCGCGCGCACCCCAGCCTTCAGCGTCGATCAGCGATTCGGCGGCTGATCGGAAGATCGAGAAACGGCCGTCGTTCAGGCTGCCCTAAATTTTTTACCTTTCGCTCCTCGCTGCTGCCTGTGAAAGCGCGCGAGCTGCAAACGGACCAGCTATTTGACGGCTGATTGGGAGACTGGACAGACTGCCGTTTTTTCTCCGTTGCAATTTAGCTCACCAAGAAATTCATTCCTTGGGCCCGTTCCTCTCAGGCCTTGTTCGCCAAAATTTGACAGTCATCGCGCGCGGCCGCCATTTTGGACCGCGCGGTGAGGGGAATAGCCTGCCTTTACATTTAGGAGCTCGGAACTTGACAAATTCGGCCGTTGTTCGTGCGCGGCCTTCATTTGACCACCCAGCAGCGGGAGAATTGCTCACTGAATTTGCACAACTTCACGAGCGGAGACTTTTCTCGACGAGGCCTTGTTGTCTCTTAGTGGGAGTGTCAACGTAATGGTTTGGAGTCCCATCTCTCGGTCGGGCCGCCATTTTGGGCTCTGACCGCCATTTTAAAGTACAGAAGACTCCATTACTAACCCAGGCCTAGAATTTAGAACTGGTCTGGATTGTATCGTTGGCACCCAATTTAGTATTCTCCTCCTCAGGCTTGGTGTCTCCCATTATAATTTAGGCCTCATCGTCATTTGGGCCCGGGGGGAGTACCTTGTTGTGCTCCTGATTATTATTATTGTTATTTTTTTGGGCCTCAGGATACCAGGTGGTCCCACAGAGCACCTTCTATTATCCTTTTTGGAGCAGAGCGGATTCCAGGCATACCCGATTGTGTGTCTGTCCTGTCCGCATAAGAAAGTCAGCTGCTCTTACAGTTGTGTCCGGGTTTCCAGACGTACCCGATAGTGCGCCTGTCCTTCCCGTTGACTAATTTCTCTTGATACCGGGGGGTCCCCACGAGTCCCTGTGTTATCAGAGAATGGAGGCTACTGACCCTCCCTTTAGGGGTATTGTCCCCTCTTCAGCAATCCCCGCAACTTCTGTCAAACTTCCTATGGAGGAATCTGACAAGACCTCATCCAAAAATAAGGTCAGGTCCACTAGTAAAACCTCCAAGAGGGCAGAGAAACAGGCTAATAGGAGACACCAAGCCTTAGAAAAAGAATTCTCTAGGGCGCAAAAAATTGCTAGGATAGATAATCCCCCAACTGAGGGTCTGTCTTATGTCCACATGCCCCAAACATCACACCATGGGACTCCAGAAGCTACCTTTACCCCCACGGCAGCTGGGCTTCAGCCAGCTGAGCTGCCTTCCTTCCCTTCGGAGGATCGACTGGCCCTATTAATTGCGCAGGCGGTTGACCGCGCACTTGACGCAAGGGCCGTACCTCCTAGACCCATAAGTAGTGATCATCTGCCCATGCTTGATCAAGGGCCGGAGACTCAGTATGCCCCCTCCTCACCTTCTGGATCTTCATATTCTGAGGGATTGTCACTTCAGGGCCAGGACAACGAACAGGAGTTCCCTATGTCTGATGAGGAGGAATCCTCTACTCAGGCTCCTCCATTTAGTGGTATGTTTAACCCTTCCTCCTTTGTGACCTTACTCCGCAAGGTCTCATCCACAGCACAACCCGGTGCTGAACCTTCCTCGTCAACTGTCACGGTTTCACCTGACTCAGAATTCGATCCGAACTTTACTGAACCAGTGGCAACACAACACCGGATTCCTTGTCCCCCCATGTTTCTGACCGCTGTCAGGAAACAATGGGCAGCTCTGGCCTCCCTCCCTCTCCCGAGTGCCACGGACAAAAAGCTGTACAACGTGGCCAAAGATTTGGAGGAGGCTCTAGAGGTGCCTGCTGTGGATGAACCTTTTGGACCCTTAGTTTCCCCTACCGCTATAGCTGGGGATGTTTCTGATGCCCTTAAGGCGGACGACCGTAAGTGTGAGTTAGCCTTTCGTAAGACTCACCAGGCGACTGCTTGGGCAATTAGAGCGGCCACCTCGGCATCCTTTTTCAACAGAGCTGCCCACCGCTGGCTTAAACAGCTCCAAGCCCGTACCCTGGAAGATGACATTCGGTCACAACAGGAGCTTAGTAAGATGGTGGCAGCCCTGGAGTACGCATCAGATGCAACTCTCCAGGCTTCCAAGTTTGCCTCCAAGGCCATGGCATCCAGCATCTCGGGACGCCGCATGCTTTGGCTCAAACATTGGCACGCGGATGCCAAGTCTAAGTGGCGTCTGGCGGCGGCTCCGTACCAAGGAGGCAAACTGTTTGGCGAGGCTCTGAACCCCTACCTCACCGAGAATAAGGATAAGCGTAAGGTCCTTAGCCATATTCTCAAGAAATCAGAGAAGCGTCAGAATTATTTTTCCCGTCGACAATCCTTTCGGGCCGGGAACAGGTATAATTACTCACAACCTTTCCGCCCCTTTCCGGCAAGACAGGACAGACAGGACAAGCAGTACGACCGACAGGCAACCAAACCCAGACAACAGTTTCAGGGTAAGCGGCCCTTTCGAGGGAGCGGCCGGCCATTTCGTCGCTCCAGGTGACTCCCTGACGGCTCCTCCCATAGGGGGCAGACTGTCCCTGTTCGCCCACCAATGGGAGGCTACCACCACGGACGCATGGGTCCTCAAAACCATAAATTCTGGCCTTTTCCTGGAGTTCAACTCCGACCCACCGACCAGATTCCTTTCTTGCCCATACCCTTGAAATCAGGCCAAGAGGGCTCTGATGGGCGAAGCCATCCAGCATCTACTGGACATACGAGCCATAGAAACCGTTCCGGAGGACCAGATAGGTCGGGGATTTTACTCCATACTCTTTGTCGTGCCAAAAGCGTCAGGGGGATGGAGGGCCATTTTGGACCTAAAGGCCTTGAATTATCATCTTGTATATCGCAAATTCAAGATGCAAACGCTCAGATCCATCTTAGGAAGCGTAAGAAAGGGGGACTTCCTGATGTCTATCGACCTCACGGAAGCATACCTCCATGTCCCCATTTCTCTCGCCCACCGGAGGTTCCTACGGTTCGCATACAAGGGCCGTCACTATCAATACAAGGCCCTTCCCTTCGGTCTTTCATCGGCTCCCAGGGTGTTT